CAGCGCCCCCTGGTCCGGCAGCGCCCCCTCTCCTCCCGGCTCCGACTCCGGCAACTCCACCTCGAGCTCCGACTCCAGCGCCCCCTGGTCCGACAGCGCCTCCTGGTCCGGCAGCGCCCCCTCTCCTCCCGGCTCCGACTCCGGCAACTCCACCTCGAGCGCCAGCTCCCCCGAGCCCCCATCGGACAGCACGTCATCCTCGGGCCCTGCTTCCGGAGGAAGCCCGTCTCACTCGGCCTCGGCCTCTGCCCCGGCATCTGGAAGTGCCCGAGCTCTGGCCATCGGCCTTGGCATTTCCATCACCCTACTGATCCTCCTCATTGCCATGGTGGCCTTTTACGCGCTGCGAAGTCGCTTTATGTACAAGGCCGTCTCTGTGCACCCTCAGGCCCCTGCCCCGGAGAGTGCCGTCTAGTTTCCCTCTATTGCCGCCTCCAATACACCCATGCTTCCCCCCCCCCTCCTTGCCCCCCCCATTCTTCGGGCCTTTCCCCCTTGCGCCCCCCCCCCCCCCCGCCCAACCGGACTGCTTGCCAAGCGCAGGGCTATCAGGGAGCAGCCGCAGGGATCCCGCAAAGGGAGCACCCCCGCCATTCGGCATGCTGATCCTCCCTTTGGGGCGCTGGCCGCTCGACATTACTGCCCGAGCCTTCGGCCGGAGCACTGCCCCTGGGTGGCCTTTGTCTTCCGGCGTGTGTGGATCCCCAGCTTCCCCTCCTCCCCCAGACGCCGGGCGCGCTTGCGGGCCATCTGCAAAAGGCTTGCCCAGCGGGTGGAGCCCATGCCCGGGACAGTGTCCATCTTTGCGCGGATATCATCCATCACCTGGCAAATTGGCTATGCCCTGCTCCAGGGCTCCGCCGACCAGCAAGTCTCCTGGCGCTCCGCCAATCACCATCGGCAGGCCCCCGCCCTGGCCTCGGACGTGGCCTAACCTCCGCAGGTGGCTTTGATGATGGGGCGAAAGCCACTCTACCGGCATCGACCATTCTCCTCGGCGGCAGATGCCCACAGGTGCCACCATCGGAATCCGGCAGTAAAAGGGCCGCCTGGGGGGGGGGGGGGGTGCCAGTGCGGAAGACCAGGACCCCCTTGCCGCGCCCCGGGAAACACCACACGAAGGGCCCGAGAAAGGGGGATCATATAAGGGCGCCTGCTGAGGGGCATGGCCGAGTAGGCGCCGTTCTGCACCATAGCCCGGCTTGGTGGTGGTGGTCCAACATTGCAGGATGTCGGACATGGGATTGGACACAAGTGCCCCTGCTGGCTGGCCTCCACCGAACATCGACCTTTCGGAGGACCGACACCCATGACCCCCTTGCCGCCATACAATATGCACTCTGTCAAGTGAAGCCAGCCTGCCGCGGCAGTGCTTCCCGCCATGCAGCAAAGCCGCCATCTCGCTGCCTGGGCCTGTTTCCCCATTCACCGCGCGATGCTTTTGCCAGCCGAGCCACCGCCCTCAGGGTCCCAACAAAAAACTCTCAATCTCTGGACGACCCCCAGTGGCCGAGGGCCCACTCTTGCTTCAGATGACTTTCACCTCGAGCTTTATCTTCCAAGGAAAGACGTTAATGCTGTGTCCTGGTGTGTGCACCTGCCGACTTCAACAGCAAGACGTGACTCAGGGGCCACTTTACGGCCTGACACACACACACACACACACACACACACACACACACACA